CTATTGCTCATATATCCATCCAACCTATGTTTGAAGCTATCCAGCGTGTTCGAGTTATTGATGATATTTGGTAACTTGTTCCAGACGTCCACTACTCTATTTCCAAACCAATGTTTACCTATTTCGCGCCTAAATCTAAATTTGTCTAATTTAAAACCATGTGTGTATGTAGCTGTATATGTGTTTACTGTGTATATATTAACAATCGTTATTCAACAATGGTTCCTTGCAAACAAAGCTCAAGGTCATAATGGAAGGTCAAATGGCATTTATAATGTCTCTGAACAGATATATATTTTTCACCATTAATGAATAAGGACTATAAACATACGTAAGAAATTAATGAACTTTTTTTTTACCGTGCAGTACTGTATACTAAATTGACGAAGAAAATGGGAACCACTTTATGACGCGGAGGGATTTGTATCAATAAAAACCTGAGTGTGTGACTTGCGTAGACTGAGAGTAGACATTTGTTAATGTTGTGGCTTACCATAACATATAGCATCAAGCATTATAAATGAACCCAGTCATATTGGTGTTTCTGAGGCGTATGTTGTGTACTGAACTGAGAAAACTAGGGAGGCTCACATATGATGAGCCAACACCAGAGACCACGTGACTGTTGGTACCGTGTTACCCCTGGCTCGCTCCACCCCTCTCCTAGTGTGGTGGTGTTGTTCTTTGTCTTGTTGCAACTTGCAGTAGTGCTTATGCAATCACGATGTTGATGTATTCGTGTTGTTTTTTTATATACCTTTGTTATTGCTATTTATGTTCCGTACTTAATTCTAATGCTACTCTTATTTTCTATCCGTGTTTGTTGTTTGGCTGTTGTTGCTCTGTCGTGTTACATAAGAACATAAAAATATAAGGAGTCTGCAATAGGCCGGTTGGCCTGTGCACGGCAGCTCCTGTCGAGAGTTACTACCACTCTCTATCATCCATGAATCTATCTAGCCTCCATTTAAAACTTTCCAGCGTTCCAGCACTTACGACAAAGTTGCTAAGCTTGTTCCACTCGTCCACCACCCTATTTGTGAACCAGTTCCTTCCTATCTCCCTCCTAAACCTAAACTTATCCAACTTAAATCCGTTGCTACCAACAGTAGTAGGGAGGGACAGTAGAGGTGATGGCAGGGACTGGGAGAGGCAGTAGATTAGTGGCAGGGAGAGTCAGTATAGAGAGAGTATAGGGAGTGATAAGGTAGTGGCAGAGAGGGACAGTAAAGGTAGTCGCAGGGAGGGACAATAGAGGTAGTGGCAAGGAGAGACAGTAGATGTGACAAGGAAGAACAATAGAGGTAGTGACGGAGTCGTAACGCTACCACTATCAGCAGTCCGTATCAGTTATCGTCTGTTATCAGTATCTATCTAACTGTAGTGCTTCCCTCACTCTGCTACTCCACTCTCTCACTGCTTCCCTCACCCAGCCCGGCTACTCCACTCTCAGTGCTTCCCTCACCCTGCTATTCCATTCTCACAGTGTTTCCTTCACCCTGATACCACATAATTATACACTCATGTGGTCCATGGAACACCTTTCAGTCCCACATGGTCCATGTAACACCTCTCTGTACCACGTGGCACAAGGAACACCTTTCTACCACGTGGTCCACGGTACACCTTTCTGTACCACGATGTCCATGGAACAGTCAGTCAAATTCCCCATCTATGTGCCACTCCCAGGAGCATCTTAGCCAGACTTCATTCCCACCCTTTCCCTTCCTCAATCCCTCCCATCCCTAGTCTCCCGCCATACTCCTCTACTATAATGACTCTTTCAGATATTAAACGATCGGATGCAGTTGGAGATATTTCGCGTTAAAACAAAGCTTTAGAAAAGGATTAATATAAAATTAAAAGAATTGCAGTCACGTGGAGGGGGCTGTAGGGTCACAGTACGCAGTTATACTGGCATCATTTTTGTTTGTTGAGACGGTTAAATAGTTAGGTGACGGTAAAAAACGAGGACCTCATGCTTATTTCACTTGATTAATAAATATCGTAATGCTAAACTAACCTAACCGAAAAATCTAACCTCATCTAACCCCCTTATTTAATGTTTGGGTGCTTAATCTTCAGGTGAAATAAGTACTGTAGTGGTTCCTAAATTTCAAGAGACCCGAAAGAGTATTAAGATATTTTATGTTGGGAAGAAATGGTGAACGTGGTGGAGGGTGTTTGGCAATACTGGGATCCCTTCCCTCCACCCACCGGCCACGTCTCTCCCCACCACACCACACTCCCTTTAGCAGTCTGCATTATTCACCAAAGTAGACACCTACAGCTTCGCCCCCACCACACCACCAACCATTACTGGGCCCTCTCTCTTACCTTATTTTGGCTATGCAATGGTATGCAGAGAGAGACCGGAAACAATGAGAGATATCCTAACCGCTTCTCTCAAGGACACCTCACCAAACTCAGCCTGACTGTGACGTCAAGTTGTCAAGTGTCGGGATGTTTTTATAATTACATATTTGCGGACTTTATACGTTACACTGAGGGCAAGGATGTTACTGAACATACTACAGTATTTGGTAGAAAATTTTGTATAAAAGTTGTCATTATTATAAGTCTGACCATCATTTACTTAAACGCTTAAAACACATTTCTTGTGTGTCAATGTTTTATTAATAATAAATGAACACATATAAAACAAATTTGGGCTAGTTTATTAGGCTTTCCCTTGTTTATTGAAGTGAAATTGAAAATGTTAAAATTCGAAGATATTAACACCTACTGCTGTGCCCTCTTTGTTTACAAATCTATCAATCACTTGCTTGACAATTATTATTTCCAGTTCTGAAATAATCATAGATACAACTTAAGGCACCCAGAGCTACTAAGACCACCCCCAATGCGCTCCTCTCAGTCCCAGACCTCCATAAAATATCACAGTGTGAAGGTATGGAACAACTTACCCCCACCCATCCGAGCAAAGACTAAGCTCCCTTCCTTTAAATCATCTCTTAAAAAATATCTATTGTCTATGTATTAATATTTCTTGTAATACCTACTATATTTACAGTACCTGCTTTTATTGTACCATCAAAACCGTTTTATCGGAAATTATCATGTAAATAGGTAAGAAATTACCATTGCAATAAACATATTTGCCAGTAGACATAATCCTGACAGCCCTGTCCTCTTGCTCAACCTTAATACTGTACAGCCCATGTTGTACTGCTCCCCCATTAATTATACTTAATATTTTTCAATTTCACTTTCATTTATGTACATATTTATAATTTAAATAAAAACTAAACTAAACAAATAAAATAAATAAATAAACTAAATAGATATTGATGTGATAACCGAGGTAGCATTATGAGATGTTCTTATTACCACCATGCTATTGTACTATTCCAGATGTTACTAAATGTTACGTAATACTTCCTTGAGATAAATGTATAGTATATAGCAGGTGCCTACAGGAGAGCTCAGGTTCTCAACTGGCTCAGCCATGTTAAAATTGTTATTATTATCCACTCTGTATCTGTGTTTGTTTGGCTAAATAAACTGTTTCAATTCAATTCAATTGATTACAATGCTGACACTGCTTCACAACATTAGCTGACATTAGTCTTAGAACTTTAGAGTGCCATAAGCCGTGTGTCTACGGTAACTGAAGCGCACATTGAGCTACAATATTAGCCAATAAGCTAATTTTATTTTCATTTACACAAAACCACTAGACCAAAATAAAAGAGACTAATTCAAGCATTAGGGGTGGTGACAAGACCTTACTTGGCAACTAACGTCTTAACATTTAAAAAAAATAGTGATAGACGTATTCTTGAAGGCAAATCATAACATATAATATATGTTATTTAAAATTTGTTCTAAAGATGTACACATCTTATATATATATATATATATTATATATATATATATATATATATATATATATATATATATATATATATATATATATATATATATATATATATATATATATATATATATATATATATATATATATATATATATATATATAATCAACACCTCAACCCGCCAGGATTCGAACTCACGGCCCACGAGCCCATGACTGACCGGGGAACGCTAACCAATATAGCCCACGAGCCCATGACTGACCGGGGAACGCTAACCAATATATATATTGGTTAATTATATGAAAAATAAATCGGAAAATATGGATAGGAAGGGTGTTAAACAGGAAATCGATATGGGTACGTAGTGTAAACACTCTCAAACGGGTGAGAACGATGACAATGGGCCCACAGCCCCACACATCCTGGGTAAACACCGATCTGCGAGCTGATGTATTTTTTAATGAAAAATTAAAGCTTGATTTTGCTAATTGAGTATTTTCTCTGTTTTTCGAAGATATTTACAGTACTTGTTGGAGTTTCTGGAGCTTATTTTCCGTTGAAACATGCTCGGATTTTTTTTCCGTCTGACGGTACTAATCAAATGATAAAATTGTTACTGTAATACTTGTCAGTTGAAATTCCTTCTAGTAATGTGCAGCAATATTTTCAGGCTAGATATTAAGCTGTCAAGTTGTATATTATCGATTTATGGGCCTTCACGCTCTACTACACCGAATTTACTAGATTATCGCTTTAACTCTAAAATCCGTATGCTGCACCTCATCGCATTGTATAGTTCACCCTTTCTTTCAGAGAAAGTAACAATATATACGTAAATGTATAAATTGAAGCAAGAGGAGTCATATCGTATCCCCGCCAACGATCCTCGCCGGGTCCCCACGCCCCATCCCGCCATGATTCCCCCTTGGGCTGAATAGCCGGAGCATTTGAAGATGCCAAGTGTAAAATTTTACGCAATCAGATTAAAATAAATATCTTTATGGACTAATAAATAGCAAATTAGATAGCTATTTGTGATTTAAATCTTATTTGTGAATCTATAAAACAATTAAAAATCTAAGTGATAATATATATTTATATATTACTTAAAAGATATGGCAGAGACGCAAGAACTGTGGCTTGTGATTGGTGGGCGGCAGAGCACGTGTGACGTCAGTGACGAAGCGGGAAGCGGCGTCTGTGCGGCCATTCTTGAACTGCTCTCGGACGGTTTACACGTACGTCCTAGCTTGAGCTCATATATTGTGTTTTGTATTTTTGTGAGTCTACACAGTACCTACAGGTAAGCGGAATTCCACTGTTGTAATCACGTGAAGATTAGCTAGAGTTTTATTCAAGAAGTATAGTATTTGTCGGAGGTGAGAGGAACTATGCCGCTCCGGCATTGTTATTTGTAAGGTTTGGTGGAATTATAATTAATAAAAAGTGCAAGTGACCGCAACACAGTAAATACTGATATTAATATTATCTCGAATGGCGGAACATCCTATATACACGTATTTATTTGAGCTTAATGCGGAGATGAAATAAATACGGATGGATAAAGAGTGGGTGTTGACGAGAGCGTGAGGTGGGTCGCCGAGGATATGATGCCGGTAGCCTCTTGAGGTTGGGCCTGGGGGCCGTGTGGGGTTGTCCTGCCAGTGTCTTTTCTAATTATAACTTAATAACGTTAGTTGTTCAGCAGTTTATCGGCATACTTAACATGGATCGTCGTCGATAATTTGTAGTGGTCCGGTGAATACTATTGTATTTCTTAAAAGTAGTGACCGTTCAAGGAACGTTCTAGTTAACTATTGGTAGTGATGATATGAGTTTTGCATGTCGCACCATAGCTTGATGAGGTCTTAATAGTGTCGCACCATAGCTTGATGAGGTCTTAATAGTGTCGCGTGACCCTGAAGGTGGTGCGTATCCTATGAGGTGGGGGGGGGGGGCTTCACGGTAAAGCCAAGCCAAGCTTCTCCCTCCTACCCCACCCTGTCTCAACTACTGCACACATTCCTGTCTCTTGCTCCCCTCAAGGCCGTGAATCATTTGTCTCGGAAAACTTTAAAATCTTAATGATTTGTTGACGGCAGTAGACTAGTGTCGAGTGAGAGGTGGGAGGACGTGTGCCAAGTCTTCGAGGATGTCGGTATTTTGAAGCGCGGAGAGCTGTTATTTATTACTTCAAATATAACACTGGTAAACTGAATAAAGTAAACAAGTACACCTTTATTAACCTTTAACTACCCAACACCGTTTTTCACACGAAAAATATATTTTTTCGCTAGCTTGCCGTTTTAGATGATTCGGACAGTTATCTTTTGGGCAAATTACTTTTTATTTGTTTATTTTTATTTTTAGTTTGCTTAGGTCGATTTGGTTGGTTGGTTCCTTTGGGTTGAGAATAGGTTAGGTTGGTTACGTAAGAATATAAGGAGTCTGCAATAGGCCGGTTGGCCTGTGCATGGCAGCTCCTGTCGAGTTGGTGCCTCTGGTATGAGAATAGGTTATTTTTGGTGTACTCAAATCTGACCTTCATTTTTGTGTAAATTAATTACATATATATATATATTTATTTATTTTTTGCAAAAAAAAATAAAATTTTCGTCTTGACAAACTGCTGATTTGCACAAAACACCAAAAATAACCTATTCTCATACCAAATGAACCAACCAACCTAACCTAACTCTAAAAAAAAAGTGATTTGCCCCTAAGATAAATGTCCGAACCGTCTAAAACGGCAAGGAAACTAGCGAAAAAATATATTTTTCATGGGAAAAAATGTGTTGGATGGATAACGAATAATAACCAAGAAAACTGCTAAAATTCGTTTTTATAAGCAATGGGTATTCTGATATTTTACCACTCACTAGGATCCTTTTTTAGTTACCTGGTAGGAGTCGATTTCCTTCTATGGCAATAGTAGGTTAGGTTGCCCGGTTAATATTTGGGTATTATTTTGCTTTAGGTCATAGCACGCCCGAAAGTTATAAACGACTGAAACATTTAGATTTTGCTATTCTGAGCATTTTGAACCCCATATATACATGGCAGAAATGGATAATATCGACACAGTTGATTTGAATTGATTTTTATGTAGTTTTCAATTCGCATCACTGAGGGGATGTTTTCGGCGCGTCACTTATGCGTAATATTAACTGGCGTCATTCACTCGTGACCTATGATGGATAAGTTTAGGAGGGAGATAGGAAGAAACTGGTTCACAATAGGGTGGCAGACGAGTGGAACAAGCTTCGCAACCTTGTAAGTGCTGGGATGCTGGGAAGTTTTAAAGGGAGGCTAGATATTCAAGGACGATAGTGTGGTTGTAACTCGACAGGAGCTGCTGTGCACAGGCCAACCGGCCTATTGCAGACACCTTATATTTTTAGATGTCATCATGCATTTTTTTTTTTACCAATTGCATTTTATTTTTATTTTTCCAAAGGAATCTTCTTGACCAGTCTCAATGGCTGTAGTGGAGGTTTATTGTCGATTTTTATGAGAAAGGTGATCATTTTATCCATTTCAACATATCCCTGGTCCTTCCACTTCTTAGGTATTGTACTTTCGGATATGGCGCACCCCAAAGTTTTTAACTACCAAAACATTTAGGCTTGTTTAGGCCTACCGGGGGTCTGGGGGCAGAGCCCCCGGCTTGGGGTTAAGGTAGATGACTCGTTTTTGTTTTCTCCCCACAAAAAAAAAAGACTTCCCAGTAACGAGCAATTTTCGCCAAAAATGGTCAGGTTTGTTTAAAATACAGTGGAAAAACATTGGTCAACCCCTTGGGAGTCGTGTCCTAAAGTAAAGTTTGGGTATTATCTTAATAGGGATTAAATTTTTTTTACCAAACTTGTGTTAAGTAATTTCCGAGAACAGCACTACACAAGAATGGAGGAAACTGCAGCGGGCCTATTGGCCCATACTGGGCAGTCCCGTTTACACCCAACCCCTATTGCTCATATAAACATCCAACCTATGTTTGAAGCTTTTCAGCGTATTCGAGTTAATGATATTTGGTAACTTGTTCCATTCATCCACTACTCTTTCCAAACCAGTGCTTACCTTTTTCATGCCTAAATCTAAATTTGTCTAATTTAAAACCATTGTTATGAGTTCGCTCCTGGTTGGATAGTTTGAGTACCTTTGTAATGTCCCCTTTGTTTAGCCCTGACTTCCACTTATACACCTCTATCAGGTCGCCCCTCGCTCTACGTCTCGAGGGAGTGCAAATTAAGATGCTTTAACCTGTCTATACTCAAGGTTCCTAATGCCTGGTTTTAGTCTTGTCATTCTCCTCTGAATTCTTTCCAATGATTCTATATCCATTCTGTAATACGGTGACCAGAACTGAACTGCGTAATCCAGGTGTGGTCTCACAAGCGCAAGATACAGTTTTAGGATGACCTCGCTAGTCTTGTAACTAACACTCCTTTGTATGAACCCAAGCACTTTATTAGCCTTGTTACGAGCAAAAACACATTGTTTACTTGGCTTAAGGTTCCTACTTATCATTACTCCTAAATTTCTCTCCCAGTCGGATTTCTCTATGGCATCATTGTTCATCTGGTATCTGGTTTCCCTGTTTACATCTCCTATACCGAGTACTTTACATTTGTCCACATTGAATTTCATCTGCCATTTTTCAGACCATTCGAAAACACGTCTTATTTTAGTGTCATCAGTAGGTAGCACAGTAGTTAAATTTTGTTAATTTTACCCCCCCAGATATTCTTACACTTAAGTTCTGGTGCCCTTATTATAGAATGGATATCAATTCACTAGAGTCGGTGCAGCAAAGAATGACGAAAATGATTCCGGGACTTAGAAACCTTCCATATCAGCATAGGTTAAAGAAACTAAACTTGCATTCCCTAGAAAGACGAAGAGTGCGGGGAGATATGATAGAAGTATTCAAGTGGGTGAAAAGAATCAATAAAGGTGATATAGATAAAGTTCTTATAATATCCGAGCAGGATAGGACTCGGAGCAACGGATTCAAGTTGGATAAGTTTAGGTTTAGGAGGGAGATAGGAAGAAACTGGTTCACAAATAGGGTGGTGGATGAGTGGAACAAGCTTAGCAACTTTGTAGTAAGTGCTGGAATGCTGGAAAGTTTCAAAGGGAGACTGGATAGATTCATGGATGATAGAGAGTGGTAGTAACTCTCGACAGGAGCTGCCATGCACAGGCCAACCGGCCTACCGTATTGCAGACTCCTTATTTTCTTATGTTCTTATATTGTGACGATCATTATTTTATTAAAATTCGCCGGTGGGTCAGTCGTCAATAATTACCCGTGACATTACAATTTCTACATATTTTTTTACACGAAGAAATGGTTATTTCTAAGAACAGCACCTCCACCAGCTCTTGAGTCGAGCAATATTTTTTATGATGGTTTAGACAATTTGGTAATATTTGTACATAGGCTGTCCTCGGTTTTTGATACAAAAATATTTGTTTTTATATATATATATTATGAAGGTTTACTCAAATCTGACCTCTAGTTCTAGTGCAAATTAACTTAAAAAAAATAATTTGTAAAAATCACAAATTTGCACCAAAATGGCAGTCAGGTTTGAATAAAACACCAGAAAAAAGGCAAAAACAAGCTTACACTTACCATTTTTTCTTACCTGCTACTGTGGTGCAGGATATAGCCGAGTGATCTGGTGCAGTTATGGTTACAGACAAAAGAATTTCTCTTAAAAGTAAAAATGTCCACATGTAGGCCAGTCTTGATGTTGGTAGGACACCGTGATCATGTCTCATTTGGATTGCTGCACTTATTCTCATAAGCTCGCTGAATAACAACTAGATAAGGAGAGAATACTTGCCACATGCCATCGCAAGCCTTCAAAATTCGAAATTGCACGGTGGAAGGCAGCTTCAAATGCTAGGCCAGCCAGGTCGCATGACACGATACTTGAAGGTCATTGGTTGTCATGTCGTAAAGAGGAGAGGAGAAAAGTGACTGGCAACATGGCGAGTATAGAAAATTTTCTAGAAATTTAAGATACTCGGTTAATATTGATTTGCACAAGAAATGATATGAAGTTATGTTATGTTTTTTATAGTCTCTGCATCTGTAATGTTGAAAATTGGAAACCTGCAGGCAACCAGTGGACGAATATTAACCAACAATTTTAAGACATGATTCCATTGCAAAGTAATCCCCCGGATCCCCGGTATATTTTAAGTCGTTTGTGAGGGAAACATCATAGAAGAAACATAGTGGATACTTTGTCGGCAATGGATGATCAGCCAATCAGCGCACTCACGATAAAATATCCACTGCCTAGAAGTGTCTCAAAATTGTCTACCATCGGAAAAACATTGCTAAACTCGAGCCGTGGTTGGTCGAAAGAACAGGCAGTCCCCGACTTACGACGGGGTTAGGGACCCGAATCCTGGCCGTAAGTCGAAAATGCAAAAAATAATACATAGACAATCTAAAATGAAATGCAGTACCATGTACCTAAGAATGTCTGTGGGTAGTTTTAAGGCTACCTTAATTTTTTTGCGGCCGAGTCATTGTAAATATGTGTAGACACACACATACAGTACATACAATATAAGTAAAAGAACTTACTGTCTCTAAAAGGCAAACACACAAAGGGAGTATAAATTTCTTAGTACACAAGTAAAAATTCGTGGCCATCTTGAAAACCTAGCCACACCGATTTGGGGGGGGGGGGGCTGTGTGTATATACAGTATAAGCAAAGGCACTGGATGCCTGTCAGCAATTCGGCATCTGCTGGGGCTACGAAAAAATGCCATAAGATGTTTTAATGGGTGGGTTTTACGGAAGTGATGGAAATTTTGTATTTTTTTTTTCTGTATTGGCTATTTTACAAAGCGAGGCACTCTTGTGTTAACCATATTGAAGGGAAATAAAAACCTGTTCCCGTATGAATGTTTTCATATCATTCCTTGACCATATTTTTTGGCAAATATTCGTTTAATGGCTGTAGCTCCTTTGTTGTTTTTAATTTTTATTTATTTATTTAGGTGTTACGGTACTTGTTTCCTTGTGGTTATCAGCATATACCTGGATCACGCGCACCTACAGTGATTTACTTGCATATATATATATATATATATATATATAAATATATATATATATATATATATATATATATATATATATATATATATATATATATATATATATATATATATATATATATATATATATATATATATATATATATATATATTATCTTTATTATATATATATATATATTTATATTATATATATATATATATATATATATATATATATATATATATATATATATATATATATATACTTACAGGTATTTTTATATATATATATATATATATATATATATATATATATATATATATATTTCTTTATTTATTTATTTATTTATTTATTAAACAGAAACTACTTACAGGTATTTTTATATCTGGTACCAATGAAAGCAACTTTGTTGAAGCTTCATGGTGTAATTTTTTATTTTATTTTTGTGGATGTTAGAATATGCTCAGTGAATGAGTCGGCTGTAAACAGACGACATGCGGTGACTGCAGATTTACGTGAACTTGCTTTCTCAGTTAATATCCATTTATGACAAGTGGTATTAGAGAATGTTGTTTCTATTAACAAGATATAACTAATTGTAAACACATTTTTTCTAACCGTGTTGTGGCTGAAACCAATACCAAAAATTCTCCAAATTTCAGCCTAACCAAACCTAACCTAGAAAAAAAAATAAAACCTTGCCACAGCCTTTAAACGAATACTGTACTAACTATTTAGCGATAAAAAACAAAGAAACATGCAGACAATGTTTGAAAAGGGGAACCCCTACCACAAAGGTCAACACACACACACACATACATACATACATATGTGTATATATATATATATATATACATATACATACATATGTGTATATATATATATATATATATATATATATATATATATATATATATATATATATATATATATATATATATATATATATATATATATATATATATATATATATATATATATATATATAAAGTAGATTTAAAATTATGGCATTTTAGAAGGGTAATTATGTGGTCTCGGTTTGCTAAAAATGTGGTGGTTTTCCTCATGTCTGAAAAACAACTGGCTAAAACAATTTACAGCCCAGTATGAGCAGCAAAACTTAAGAATGTAACAGTGGAGGAAACGGCAGTTGGCTTATTGGCCTTGTTTACATAAACCTGTAGTTAATTTATAGTAGAGGACGTAACTATTTTATACCCGATTTTCCCCCCAATGATTGTTGTGGTGATCCGCATGATTTCATCCTTTGTTTTTATTGCAAATTACTGAGCTTATTTATTCTTGAACATCGGCTAATGGCTATGGAGCCAGTTGCTAACCCTTGCATAATCAGCGCAATATATCTGATTTGTTGCTAACCCTTGCTCAGTGAGCGGGGCCTTATTCAGTGCAATAAATTTTCACAACAAAAGTATTCTTACCTTGAAATTTGTTCAGACAGTGGAGGGTATAAACTTGCAGCTTGTCTGAAGAAGAATAGATACCTTGTATTTGGAACTGTTTTAAATGTTCTTTTCTGATGCCAGCCAATGTGTTCACAAAGTTCTTGGAATGATTAGTGATTTTATGGTGATATTCCATTCTCAATTAAACTTGTAAGCGGCTCGCTCATAACTGTGCACGAGGGAAACCCCTCTTGGTGTACTTTTCGCATAAGGGTATCAGAGTTGCAGTGTCTCTTGTCAAGTAACGGCATCCTAAATTTCTTCCTTGGCATGGATGCATACCACCGAAGACCTAGACTGCTCAACTATTAACCTCGGTTATATTTACGTTTTCTGAGTTTAGATTTGTCCAGAATCGATTGTCCAGTCAACACTGTATAACCATGTGGCAGTAGCATCTCCAATGTACATTGTTGTTTGTTGATAACTGAAGATTTGGAGAATGGAGCAAGGATTCCAGTGTTTTTGCAGCCAATGGCTAACAAAACAATACTATTTTCCATTGTTCAAAATGACAATAAACCTGTATTGTATGACACAGTATACCACTAGGTTCTGCATTTCTTTGCTACTACAACAGTTGTACTACATTACCCCAAGTGCTTGTCCTCGTGATGATGGCACTCTTTCACAAAGTGGACACTACTCTTGACGGAAAAATTCCATTTGCATGTATTGTTCCCATAAAATTTGGCTCTAGCTTCCCACTCGCCAGTGGCACATCATACGAACACAGCAGCCATGGCCACACTTTTTTTAATTTCAAAAAAGGATTTTCAACCCCCAAATCCTACATCCACCTTTTTTTAATCGGCTAGGCAAGCCTGCAATGCAGTAATGCATTATTATACATAAACCAAAGAACATGCCATTTCTTACTACCAAGTAGAATTCTGGTAATTTTCAGATTTTTGACCAAATATTTTGGTTATTGGTAAAATGGAAGAAATGTGTAACAGAAGAAATTCGTCTTATTTCTGAAACTCATTAAATGCACCCCACCCCCTTTATTAAAATGTCCTCTACTATTAATTTACCGTGTTTACACCCAAACCTTCAAACCTTATCACTCGCATATCTATCCAACCTATATTTGAAGCTTCATAAGTGAGTTTTGCATTAATGGGCGTTTGGTAATTTGTTTCACTACAAAACTAACCAATGTTTACTTATCTTGTGTCTAAATCTAAATTTGTCGAATTTGAAACCATTTATACACTTAAAACCGTATCTCCCCTGACTGCATCTCATGAGAATGCAACTTCAGAAATTTTTAATGTGCACTACTCAAGGTTTTTAATGCCTGGGATTTGTCTTGTCGTCTTCTGTTTGCTTTCTAGGGAATCTCTTCTATAGTGCTGTACGTGCAAGATAAAGTTTAATGAGAATCTTGCTTGTCCTATCACACTCCTTGATATGAACCCAATTACCTTGTTAGCATTGAGCAGGTATTCCATTATACCTGAGAGAATGTGTGGCAAGGCGTGGAGGAAACTGACTGATCGCCCCGAAAGTGATACTGTTCGAGAGCCCACACGGGCAACACAGCCGACTCACTTCATCCAGTGGAAGGCCTTACTAGATGAAGCAAATACCCTGTACTGTACTGGCACAAAATTATTCTGCTAAAAGGAATTCTGTTGTCAGGAATGATTACTGTATATTAATGTCTTTTACATTTTGATATTCACCCTCTGGTACAGTCAGACCATAATTACTTTCAAGATGCACTTCATTGACGAACTAGTAGTATGGCTTGTAAAGCGTGTAGCATAGTACCCGTGGAACTTGATCAAAGCTATTGATTTGACAGGGTTAAATTTGTTTAATTTAAGAACTTTTACTTGGTGAATCACCTTAACAAAAATATATATTAGCAATTTTTTCATGAAAATCTTGATATTTTTAGGGCTTCATAATGTTGCCATTCCTCTGAGTTTTATCATCCAGTCCAGGCTTGAAATGCCAAATTATAACTAGGTTCATTTGGCATAAAGGGAAATATTTCCACAGCCTCAAATCAGGCTATTTAATTCAGGGGGCAAGGTACACTGAGGGTTCTCATAATGAAGCTTATCATTCAATTTTTCTGTTCTGGTAGTAATGAAATATTTGTGGATGTATTACAGTGTTAAAGGAATAAAGCTTTGTTGTTTTTTATTTTCAGCATTCATAATGCCTCCCAAGACAAAGATTTTCGTGGGCAAACTGCCTCCAACATGCAAGGACTTTGAGCTACGCAAGTTGTTTGAAAGGTTCGGTGAAGTTACAGAATGTTCCATCCTTGGAAATTATGCATTTGTTCACATGAAGACAGAAGAACAGGCAGCAACAGCTATCAGGAATCTTAATAACTGGGATATGAATGGCTTTAAAATTAGTGTAGAGGTAAGGTGAACTAATTTAAGAAAAAATTAGTTTGTTTGCCCAAGATATCACTGGCTAACCTTCTAGTAAAGTTTTGTTTTGCAGTTCATTAGTTAATAATACAATCAGCGAAGTGGAATTAATGAAAGTATATTATGAGGTTGAATTAGAGCATAATTTATTCCTTTCTACCTATGGCTCGGGCATAATGGTTGATTTTATTGCCGTCTGCCTATCATTATTTTACACAAGAACAAAAATCTTGCAAATATTTATTGGTTCACTTGCATTTGATAATCTCTTATTTTATTTTTTACAATAATTAGTTTTATTTGTTTATTTTTATGTATTTATTTTTGAACAGCAATCAACTGGAGAAAAGCGTGCAGGAGGAATGGGTGGTATGGGAGGTCGTGGAGGTATGGGTGGTGGTTTCCGTGGACGTGGAGGTCCCATGAGAGGACGGGGCATGGGCCGACCAGGTCCTTATGACCGGAGACCACCCATGGGTGATCGTTATGGACCACCACCCCCAGGCCCACCCCCAGCACCTCCCATGAGAAATGGTTATTATGATGATTATGAACGCCGTGATCGCCGTCCCCTTCCACCAGCAGGAGCCCTAGACCGCCGACCACCACCACCAATGCCAAGAGAGCCAGCATACAGGGACCCATATGATCGCTATGATTCTTATGACCGCATGCCTCCTCCACCCATGGGCCGCCGCACGCCGCCACCAATGGACCGACGACCTCCTCCCATGGGATATGACCGCAGGGACGACCCATATGGAGATATGTATGGACCAAGGCCAGAGTATGTTCACCCTCCCCCATCAAAACCCCCTTTATAATCATGAAAATTTAATGTTTGCATGACCCCTTCCTTCCAAGTTGAGTGCATAAAATGTGTGGGCTAAGAGGATTGGGTTAATTATTTAGGGATTGTGGAAGAGGTGGATCACTAAGGAATTTGTTGTTGGAAGATTATTGCCCCACCACCAGCCTTTCCTGCCACATCCACACCTGTAGTTTGGATTACAAGAACCTAAATTTTAGTTCAAACCTTTATTGACCCCTCTCCCTCCCCCCGTTTTTTGTAACCAGGCAATGCATGAAATGGAAGTATTATGTTGTATGTGCATTATATGTTAGATATGTGTAGGTATGTCATGGGTCATTTTTGGAACAGGTAGCATTATCATTGTTCTTGCCATTGAAACCTTCATTTTCAAAGCATAAAGTAGGTGTTTGAAATGTCATGGTTGTTTGGGTGTAACTGCAAAAATTAGCCCAGGTTTTTTATTTTGTCTTGTTTTTTGTGTAGTGTTTTTAGAGCATGCATCCCATTTTGGCTCGCTCTTGTTACTGATTGTTTCAAGTCTGATGCTGCCATTTGATTTGTAGTCTTTCCAACTTTTACAAGCAGTGGTGTTTTATCTACTATTGCTTCAGTTTTTACTGCTGGGTTGTCATCACTATTAATAGTGATTAGGAGTGCCTTTATACCCACTCCACCCTTTATTTCTTAAGATGCTGGAATGGTTCTTCTTAGCAGAGCAATGTTAGCCTTCAGGTCAGTTTTCACTGGTTAGGCAATGAGAAGGCTTGCAAGGTGGCCAGGGCTGCTGCATTTTGTCCAGCCCTTTATTCAACCACTCCCATATTGGGATATGCATTGCCTGATAATATTGTTTGTATGCCTCAGAGATTTGAGATTGGCTAGTTTAGGCTGACATGGTGCCTGATGGCTTCAGAGCTCCACTCATTGTGGTGATTGCCTGGTCAAAGCCTGGTCAAATGTTCTATCAGGGGACCTGTGAGGCTGCATCTCTAGGTTTCTGTGATGGGATGGTAACTAGTGCCTATCCTTTTTCTTGGATCAGCTGTCCCTTTTCCATATTTAAGTTTATCAAGGAGACTGGCTGCCTTCAGCATATACTGTACTGTATATTGGTTAGTTACATCTATGTATACAAGTTAAAAAAAATATATATAACTATCATTGCATTAATTTTAAATAGAAGTCCCTCTTTGTCATAGCATGGCAAGTTGCTGACACCCTGGTTTGATTGTCATGTTGCTGCTAAATAGTTGCTAGAGGGAAAGTAAATGCATCTAGTACAGTGGCTCGTGACTTTTAATTTCAAGGTTCATCATTTTAATTACCTTTCAAGATGCAATTAAATAAACTTGGTTCACAAGTATTATAACTAGAAGTTCATTAATTTTGTATTTCATCTAGAACTAATGAGAGGGTTAGCACTGCTTTTTAAGCATTTGAATACTTCAAATAAGGTTTTCACCAAAATCTTATATTCGGTAATGTTGCATTGGTAGCTATAGTAGTTAATCTCAACTAACGAGCTTCCATCAGTATTGTAGTGGTTTGTTTTTGCTGTTTAATGACATATAAACTACAGTCCTCATTAACTTCAGTGTCTTAAGGATTGCATTGGGCTTTATAAGATATGTAAACCCCCAAAGATGTTTCTCTATAGAAACTCTTGAATTTTAATGTTCCAGCACAATACAGCATATTGATAATTTGCTTGTTGGTGTTTTGTGATTTAGTTTGTTAAGTTGCTTTTTCTTAATTGTAGGCGTGACATCTATGGTGGTGGAAGGGACATGTTCCCCCCTCGTGGCCGATCTCCACCCCGCCGTAGTCCTCCACGCCGGTAAGTAACCCAGTTTATTAAGTATTTGTCAATATTATGAAACACTGTTCATATGTGGGTATAAATTAATTCTTTCTTGTGTATTGCAGTGTTTAAATTAAGGAACAATCGCTAGCTATTTTGATTTGTCGATAAGTAATCGAAGGATAAAGGTAAATGTTGCGATGATTATTAATTTTTTTTATCTTGTTTTTCGCTTTTCTTTAAAATAGTGTTCTTGATTATATAATCGAATTTATAGCTTGCGATTTTCTTAATAACTTTTTATCCATGACAGCTTGTTATGAGCCCGAAAGTGATTTGAATATTTTCATGTTCTCTTGTAGCTACCCCGGTCCTCCCCGTGACATGCCCCCCCGACGCTTTTAGATGCGAAGTAGAGGCTGACAGCGACGTGTGCATGCACCGATAATCAGATCTTGGTGGCAGATGCATTCTGAGTTAATATCATGAATACAGTAATTCTTTCCAAGGATTAGACGACTGAAGTCTTGATTCATGAATGCGTAACTTCATTGAACATTTGAACAAACCTGAAGACTTTAAGTTTTTTATAAAGTCGATATTGTTTAATTTTAAGTGTACTGCGTACCAATAAATCTTATTTTTAAGGAAATATTTCAATGTTTTTTCAATAATTCCTTGCGATCTGAAAGTGTACAACCACCACCAACTCGAACAAATCACCAAGAACTCTGATTAAAGCCAAATCAAAAATATGGAGGAGTCCAGCGACAGGTAACCAGGTAAGAACCAATATTCACATGAGGCGATCTTTTAGTTGTCATTTGCTTCAGTATCCTTGCCTCATCCGTCTGTAGTTCACTGTAGGACCTAGACATGTCCTGGGCCAGATGCTGTTCGACCTACTTCCATCCCCCACTGTTCACAAGCATCGTAAGCGACCAGACTTGTGACGACGATGTGACCGCGTGCTAGAGGCCCGAGGCAGCGCCGGTCGGCGACATCTCTTGCAGGTGGAGCGTGTGAGCATGAACGAGATGTGAATCAGGCGTAAGAGTGCCCGGACTTGCTCTTGGACTCTCTCACACGACTGACTCACATTCGTCTGTCAGTGCGATTGGCAGGTTAGCTGTTAATGGGCAACTAAGGGAGGCGGTGCCCTAACCAACGTCTGTTGACTCTTGCATGTACTACCTCACTTAAATAGGTTATACTTTTAGGATTAAGTACAGTCTCAGTGACTTGAGTATGCTCTTCTGTGAGTACATCATCTTAAGCTTTACACTTAATCCATCGCATCACTTGAGATACCTATCTTTACTGTCTTAAGAACCACATTGCCATCACTCGACTTCTCTCTGGCAAGATTTACCGACTGTGTACCTGTCTAATAACTTAAGCAAAGCAGTGCCTAGCTTAATGACAGTTTGCGGTGGTAATTTCAACGCCTTTTGATACTCTCATCATGTACTCACTTATATATTTATATGCTTGGATTTTGTCCTCTTAAGTCGTATCTATCAAAACTTAAACGTATTAGTTTAACTTAGTGGAATACAATCTGTTAGGATTTTGTTTACGCTCCTTTAGTATTTTATCGTACTTTCAAAGACACGAAACTTGCTTTTCGATTGCTCCCCTTTAATACTGTACTTATATTGTTTTAAACGTTCAGTAAGTTTCCCTGCCCTTAAGAAGCCTAGGCTACCCCTAGATTATCGCGATTCTTCGCATCGACTTCAGAAAGTTAAAGTTCTTGCGCTAGTTCAGATTTTAGCATCCCCCTTTACTACATTTCATGCATGAAATTAATCTTATCCTTTTTACTAGGTACAACTGGGAATTGGGTGACCAGTGAGGTTTGATCCTCATATAGTGGAGAAGTTGAGGCTGTGATGTCACAGCAAAAATGGTTTGATGGAACATTCCTATGCCGATCTAAATGCTGGGTCCAGCGTCCTGACCTGTTGGCATTTGCCGAGGTTACCTGAATGGTATGTATTGCATGTATTTACATTTCTTTTGTCTGATAGAAATTTTATGGAAGGTAATGTGTTACTTGAAATTTTATGAGATGGTTCCATTTTTTGTGGAACCGATTAGAATATTGGGACTTTTCCATTATACCCCTGCAAAATTTGTAAGATTTAGGTTTTTTTTTCAACAAACCTAACCCAGTTTTTTAGGTGGTTGGTAAAAAAAATTAAATAAATTTGTTGGCATTTGACTTATTTTGGTGCCATTACCCGCGATCTGGCTTTTCTCATATCTGACCAGAGCTAGCTCTTAACTCATTCACATTTGGTTTTAAGAGAGGTATCAGTTACAAGTTTTCAAAGGACCTTTCAGGGTTGCCACTGGTCAGTAAATAAAACCCTAAAAGGGGATAGCGATAAAGATTAAATGAAAGCAAGTGGTGCATTAAACAGTAAGCAAATGAAGGCCTTCGAGAAAACAAGCGGAGGCAAATAAAATGAGTATTACAGTACTTGGGTGGCAACCCATTTGCAAGATGTACTAAACAATTTTTATTATTTTTTAATCATATAATATGAAATATTGTTTGTTTAAATATTTTTGGAAGTCAAATGTCTTGTCATAAACTCAATTTAAACTAATGGAAATTTAATGTGTAGAAGTTTGGTGTATTAAATTTTCAATACTGTACTGTACTCTCAAATCCCTATTTAATGTTATAGAAATAAATCCAATCACCTATCCCCTTTTATATCTTTTTCTGTGTTGATGGTCGGGAAATGCCACTCATGGAATAACTTAAACGTTATTTACCTTAATTTGTCCCAACATGAAATGATTCAATAAAAATCTCATAAGTACATTATTCATTTAAAGTGGAATTTGAAAATAGCATAGCCGAAAATCACTATGTAAATAAGGATATTGAACGGACAGGTTGCCTTTCAACCCTGCCATGTGGGAAGTAAACCCATTGATAATGCCAATTGCAGGGGGCGCCGGTGGGTAGAACGGTACCGCTCTTGCCTCGCAAGCAAGATGTCACGGGTTTGATTCCCGGGCCGGTGGAAAGTTGTTCGGACACACTTCCCAGCCTCCCTTGGTCCCTGTTCACCTAGCAGCAAAGTAGGTACCTGCTGTAAATCGAAAGTTGCGAATTCATATTCAGGGACAAGTTGTTGGAGCTTCCAATAACTTGCTTAGACATAAACCATCGACTCTTCAGGCTTCTATGTCCTTAACTCATGAGACATAAAGGTAAGCATGAACTTAACATGCTTACCTGTTGGGCACTGTAAACGCTTCTGTACTTAACACAAGGATGTATGGGGGGTGCCCAATAAAAAAAAAATGCCAATTACAGGCTGTCATTTTTTATGTTTCGGAAATTGTTAATGAGTTAAATTTCTTGTTCCAGATAGATGGGAGTTGCTGATGGTGTTGCTATGTACATTTTTAAATAAAGTTTCATAAATACCATTGTTTCACAATTACCTTGTAAATTGTCTGGTTGTGCATGTACTGTATGCATTTTATGGGACTTGCTTTCACCTTTTACTGTTGCTTCCTATTGGTTACAATTGAGCAAATTGCATTGGTTAGGTCTTCACTGAAAGATGTACAGTGGGAGTACAACTGAAAGCTCAAATTATTTTTTGAAAATTTGGTTTTCTGACGTTTACATAACAATATTGTACTATCCTAATTGTTGCCATGAAATGTGCTCAGAGGAAGTAAAATTACATAAGTATTTTGGGCGCACCAATGCTTTTCAAATCTTTGGGCCCCTGAAATGATTGAGTTATCCAAATTTTTTTTAAGCTGTAAACAAAAAAATCTCATGGTGAGGTGGAATCCTGAATATATTTCGATTCTCAGGTCAGGTAAGTTTTTAATTGCAAAGACCGAAAAAGAGTTCTTTACGGAAGTGATGCAAGAGTATTGAGAATGACACTGTCTGGTGTTTACAACAAGAGAATTGTTTTGGTTAAAAGTCCAAATAAAGGGGTGAATGAGCTAACGTACAAGTGATTTTTGGGTAGATAAGTGTTTGAATGAGGAGGTAATCATTGAGTGAAGAGTTTGGCAACAAAGAGAGGAATTTGGTAGAAAACAGAAATAAGTTGTAATAAGGAAGGGGGTGAAGAAAAACCTTAAGAAAAGTATACCAATTTGACCGAAATGGTAAAAAGGATGTCAGGGATTCACACAAATTTTGTAGGAAAATATGATCAAAATATAATACGGGTGCTCCTTTACTTAAGAACGTTCAACTTACAAACTTTCAGAGAGACATCATCACTGAGGGGGGGTTACCTGCCAGAACAAGTGTTTAATTGTGGATGAGTGGATTATTTTGAAGAAAATTTTGGGTAGAGCAATCGTTACCTAAGAGGAGAAGAGTGAGCCAGGTTTTAGGCTGTATTAAAGGGTATAGCTGTACTAAATATCCATCATTGAATTTTTTACAATATGCTTGGTATCTACAAGAGTAAAGTTGGACTTACAAACAAGTCTCAGTAACATAACTCGTTCGTAAGTAGAGGAGCACCTGATACAATGTCTGTGTGTGTGTGTGGAATAAAGGTATTTCCAATTGAACTTGGTTTCCTCCATTTTCTCTGCCCTCATGGAAAAGTAAGTCCCAAAGACTTGACTGCTTGTTAAAGTGTTGACAGCACTGTATAATCCTTCAAATGGTGGTTAGCCTAGCCATGCTACCCAACATCAAAGTTGGGTAGTGCATTTATCCTGTTCAAATGTTTGTTGGTTTAATTCTGGGGCATTCTCAATCCAAACAACTTTTGTTTGTGTTTAACTTGAGAAGATTGGGAAGTGAGAGTATGGTTAGGCATACCACCAATTGAAGCCTTAGTGTTGTGTCGACACTAACAAGCAGTCAAGTCTATGGGACTTGCTTTTTAATGAGGGAAAAAGAGACAAAAGGGAGGAACCTGAAAATACTGGTGGAAATGCCTTTGGGCGATGTTACGTTGTGCATAACATTGGGATTATTAGATACACTGTGCAACAAAATATTGTCAAGGGGGGGGTTGTGTGTGCCTTAATTCAGTGTGGAGCAATCATAAGTCCTATGCATGGTGATCCAATCTAAAGTACTGTATTATCCACCCTCTACACACCACAGTGGGCTTTTGTTTTGCTGGGGCTTCACCCAAGGCTGATTATATATGTACAGTCTCAAAAAAGTATCTGAAAAATATTGTTCAAGACAATATGACACATTGGATGTATGTTTTGGGGAAATGGTAGAGGAACAGACATGGGTTCAATTGTTCATTTTGACATCCATCGGACTCCACATTTCAGGTACTCTTGAGCGACTCCCATCTTGGGAGAAGCTGTAGGTCTGCCCTGCTGTTAATAATTGATTTACTGTATATTCAAATTGTTGTCTGACATACACATGCAGTGTGAACATTAACATATTTTTGTCATTTTGGGGGGGGGGTAATTATAAAGTAAAGTAGATTTGAGAATTTAGTTCACAATTTCAGATGTGTAGTTGGTGTACATCCTTGGTGCAACCAGTTAGGTGGGGTGTGGTACAAATTGCCTAGACTGTACTGTGCATACTATGTGGAAGATAGTTCAGGCAGTGGCATGTATTCCTCAGAAGCAAGGTTAGAATTGCTTACCCTATAAAATTTCTTCCCTTCAAAATTAAAATACTGTATTTGTTTAGGTAATGTATTATTTAAGTTGTCATTTTTTTTATTTTAACCCTTAGACCCCGGGTGATTTCCAGAACGTATGCCTGGGTTTACTTGTTCATGGTGGACCTGTCTAATATGATGTTGTCCACTGCCATGCGACCTCAAATACCAGTTCCTACACCTGGTGGTAGCCTTTCAACTCTGCATTGGCCCTGGCAAGCAATCATACAATTTATTTTTCATAATCTGATCTTTCCCTGGCACTGGTTCAAACCTTGTCTCTATGACTTTCAGTTTGTTTCATTTGTTCTACACATCTCCCTGGATCGTCCTCTAAATGATATTCCTCTCTAAAAAAAATCTGCCCATGCATTCCTCTGGGTACACTGGCCCGTGCTGAACTTCAAAGTTTGCTTAAGGTTGTTCCAATTCCACATCCCACTGCTATTCCGTTCCTCCTGAATCATCTCATCTACTGGACTCCCCATTCTGCTAAGAGCCGCCTCTACCTGATGGTCATCCTTAAGTAGCCACTCTACCTGCCTACAAAATGTAAAAACGTTGATCCCAGAAGTCAACCCCGTTATATTCCAATGATAACATTCTAACATAATTAAGGCTGAAAAGAGATGATTGCCTATCGCTTCCTTCGATATAATCCGTTAGTTTGGGATGAACCCCTGGATCAACCTTAAGGCTACCTGTGAAGCCCCCTAATTGTGGTATAGGGTGGAAACTTTCTGCCTATGGGGCTGTTGGGGTTGTGTCATTTCCTGCAACTGACTCTTGATCCGTGTCTAGGTTACTTCCATGCCAGCGGTCTTGTTGCAGGTCCCTAATTTGCTTCTGCAATTCCTTAGCTCTAACTGTTGACTGGTGATGACTGACATAGTCTGCTCAAACCTCTGCCAATGTGTCACTAACTGGTACTTTCCTGTTCAACTGGCTTATCCACTTTGTCCTAAAAATACTACAACTCGACCAAGGAAAAATACGAACCACTTAACACAACTATACAGTACTCCTGTATTACTACGACCTGAATTGACCAATGGCACAATACAACACTATGCAACACCTTAACATGGCACCAAAAATTGTAACTCCCATCAACCAGAGACCAATTGTTCTATGGCATTCCATAGGTGAACCACCTAACGAACATCAGAGGTGAGCCACTTGAGACACTCCTCATGACACAGTATGGACTCCCTTACTTCAATGCCACGAAGGTTAATCCATAACTTCTGTAATAGTTGTTGCAGTGCGTGGTACT